TACAGCTGTCCAGAACAAAAGAGGTATGAAAATATGAAACAGACCCGAATAGGGCCACTACGCAGTTAAAGACCGGTTTATATGTCTCGGATATGCCTTATTTTTATCGCCGGACAGTTCGCAATACCGATGACGCACGTTTCCAAAACATCGCAACCGTTACACGGTGTAAGAAGCATAAGAATTTAACTGTTCCTCCTACGACCGGAACACTTACAATAGAAAAACCGTATACTGAAGGTCACCAAGTACAACAAAATCACAGGGAATTGACTCACGACGGAGCACGGAGTACACAAGGAACGCCTGCAGCGACATAATGATGCCGGCCTTCGTCAGAGGCGCAGCTGTATAGGGCGACGGCACATCAAGATCTAATTAAAGGAGCCGCACGCAAACAATCTGACTGCCTCCCCTCCCTCTGTCATTGGCGTGTCCCAACCGTTTCCCTTCGCAGACCACCTCCGACTAGTTGGTTGGCGTTAGGACACATGCGCAAACAGGAACATCAAGCACAACATAAAGAGGTAATGCCTATTAGAGGACTTCATGGGCCGGATAAATCCGTTATCCACGGATAAATCCGCGGACCGGATAGGATTGGATTTTAAATTTGTTAAAAAAGAACGGATATGGGCGGGCCGGATTTGGGAATTGAAGGTTGAACCCGGATCAAAACGGATCAAAATTTTAACATTCAACATTGAAGTTAAAATTTAACCTAATGTGTTAAGCGGCATCAGAGGTTTGATTAAAGTAATAGGCATCATTTTATGACACTCACTTGTCACAAGACTTGTCTTCAAGTGGATAATGTATGCAATGTATGCATGGTTTTTGGAACCATGATGGTCTATGAGATGTATGGCTGTCTGGTCCCTTAGATTGAATTTGTTAGTCCAGTTTTGGGTGAAACCAGTTATTGGTGAAACGGATTATTACGGATATTTTTTGGAAGTTTGGCTGCAATACGGGGGGGCCGCAATAGGTGGGCCGGATTCTGATATTCAAAGAAAGGCGGATAATGGGCGGATCTGGATATGACTTGCCGGATATGGGCCGGGCCGGATCCTAAAAAGCCTATCCGTGAAGTGCTCTAATGCCTATATTAACTAGCTTGGATAAAAACTCAATGGCCCTTCAAGTTTTGGACACACTACAACCTCATCAGCTCAAGTTACCATTGGGTACCTATAAAATGTGGCTTTCTTGTACCGCAACTGAACACGGCGTAATGTCAAGCTCAGAGTTGTGTATCTCGCAGCGCAGCTACATAATGGCTAGCCTAGTCAGACCAGTCAACTGCTGTAGCCAATTGTTCAGGGCAAATGTCACCAGTGAACGCCTCGACACTTAGGTACTGCGAGCCTGCTTCAACCAGTTCAATCAGAGATGAGTGGCATTCCCGGAAATGGGAAGGCTGGAGCAGAAATGAGGGATTTGGGCCAGCTCACGATTCCACCAAAGTCGAAATTTACCTACAGGCTGCAGACTGAAAAGTGTGAGCGCTAGCTGAAGCCGCATTAGGTAAACGTAATGCAATATTCCAATCCAATGTCAGTAAACAGTAAATGCTGAGCTGACGGTCACCAAACAGCAATATTGCGGCGATTTCCCGCCTATCGAGAACCCATATTGCATTGCATTACATTGCACTGCCATTTAGTTCATTGCCATTCGTTTCCAGGCTGGAAGCCCTTACCATGAACGGCCAGCTGCAGCTCATTTAGGATCAAAAGAAGTTCCAATTGGAGGCCTTTTCACGGCGCGGTCAATACCACACTCTGCAGACGGAAACCCGCAGAAACGCGACGGCAAGTCCACGCCCGCAGACGACCAGCGTTTCTCCAACGGGCCGTAATTACTAGCTAATGAGAACACCTTAATCTAGTGGGCAGCTTCTCAAGCCAGTACGGACACAGTTTGTGTTTGGATTTGCAGTCCACAGGCGGATCTAGCCTAAGCTTTCACGAGGAACCGCCAAATCTGTTATCGCTTTCCATGCATTGCTAAAACGTAATGACATAAGTTAACTTTGTAGCGGAGCTGTAGTTCCCCTCTGAACCGGCTATGATCCTGTCCTGGTATTCCAGTTGCGGCCCTATCGGCCGGATACGGTGTAACTATAGGCTCGGCACCATTGCTACAACCTGCAGCAGACATAACACGCTGCAGGCGGCCGGAAGTGCTCGGTTAGCGCCGTCGGACGGACACGTCCGGGCTATCAGAATTCATTGATACCGGCTGGCAGTCAGCGGAATGGTACTGAATGTGCATCGGAGGCACAGACCTACACTAACCTTACGGGGTGGGGCCTATAGCAGGGCTCCTATAAAGTCCTAAGATGTCGAGAGGAGTGGCATCATAGTGGCATCGCATAGGTACCGCCCGTCCCGTCGAAGCTTTATCAACTGCCCACTGGCCAGGACCAGAGACCTTTTATCATATAGGGGAAGCGGGGGTAACACCGCCCCCCTAAGCTTTTCGCCAAAATGAGAGAATATGTGTGAAGTCTCTTGGTAGTTATTGTTTTGGTTACAATATTTAAACATTTTCTCACGTGTTTTAGGTACTTATTTTGCATGCTCCTAAAAGGTTTTCATGTATCACGACTTTTAAAAATACCTTGCATATTTGCTGCCTACAAATTGTGTGGGTAACCCCGCCACCGGTGTTGATGTTAACCCAACCCATTCCTACGAAAGCTTTTAATTGTTCAGAGATCGTGTGCGATGAGTTTCCTGTCGGTAAGTGGTAATTTTCGCAAATAATCGGTAATGGACACCTAAATAGGTATACGTTCATCAGCTGTTTGCCAGTTTTATACAGCTGGCAAGTGCTTGGTCGGGATGCATGAAAAATATAAAGTAAAAAATCAAATAAGCTGCTTATTCCCGACTTAGGAACATCTACGAACATAAATAAAGCGTGTCTTTGGAGTTTCATCACTTATCACGCTACAAACAGGAAATACCGCAACCTCAATTGGGGTAACACCGCCACGGGGTGGCGGTGTTCCCCAAAAGTGATCACAAGCAAAAGTCGCCAGCGGTAAGAATGTACTACACGGTTCAAGCAAACTTATCTTACTGGACAAAGCCTATCAGTTATTTTTCGATGTAATCAAGTAAATCAAAATGAGTCTCTACTTAAAGACATTCAAAAGTGCTCCCAACTCATCGAATTTTTATAAGAGAATGTGCATTTTTCTTTAAATGCCCACATTGAGCTTCGATTACACTGAAACACCGGAACACAAATCAGAAGACGCTTACCTTCGTGCGGTCAATAGGAAATAACGGATTTTTACACTTCACATTTCATACTTTCGCCGCCAGATGGGGTGGCGGTGTTTCCCACAGTGGCGGTGTTACCCCCGCTTCCCCTACCCACTGAACAGATCACTGACTAATTCCAGATCTCTGGCACTGACCGCTCTTCACTGAATGAAACTCGATCCATACCGCAGAAACCGACTGGGTAGGACCTTACCCAATAACATGCTTCACCAGATATATCCACGAGTTAGGGACTGAGCCAACGTCATATAACCACTGACTGACTTCAACTTGGGTAGGTATTCACCAGATACTCTCTGTCAGGGTCATCAGTCATCGCCCACTGACTGACCACGACCAGTGGCCTTGCCATATGTAGACAAATTGCCATTTCCCGGGGACGGGAACAGAGCAGTGCAGCGGGGGAAACCAGCTGCTCAGCCGAAAGCTGCTCAACTGGCTGCTGCTAGCTGCTCAACTGGGCCTGGTTCATATTGAGCCCCTCTGCGACTGAGCGACACTTACTGGAAAGGGCGCCGGCGACCCGACAGATAGGCTCAGCGCTGTAGCCACCCTTATACACCTAACCAACGGTAGCAAAAGCGTTTCTTAGAGTAGGCGACTGTTTGGGAAAGTGAAACTAGCCAACGGGCTTTTCTAACCATGTGAACTAGGCCCTGATCACCTATGTATTTATCAGTGACAACCGGCTGGCCACTCGTCAAATCGGAACACCTCATTGGCGGTATTTGCTTCAGGCAGGTTTTATTGACGTTAGGCTATCTTATCCTGGGCTAAGGGCTTATCTTATCCGCTACCCTAATGTTACTATACTGAGTAGGCAAGATGGAAACGCACTTCAAATTATTACACCTGGACCCGTATTCACGTCGATCATTTTCGTAAGAATTTCCTTAAGTTTGACCTACTTCTTAAGTAATTTTTTTTAATCACGTGAACTCCGTCGATAAAAACTTAAGAAGTGTCGACGTGAATACCAAATTATACTTACGAAAGAAAATCGACTTACGAAGTCGACGTGAATACGGCCCCTGGCTGCCACTAGCCCAGATCGGCTTGTGCCCCTGACACACATGTTTGAACGGTAGTCGGTACAGTCCCTGTCCTGGTCTTAGACTAAATAACCGTAAATCACCGTGTAATGAGCGGCACCCCGCCGTCCTTGCGGCCAGACTCACAAAACCTCATCCCCAGCCTTCGCTCGTGCCCGGCACACGCTGCGTGCCTGTACCGGCCTTCATATGCACGTGTATCTCCACACTGATTCAGGCCGTACTTCTAACGGCGAGAGGTAGGTCTGTACCGAGTCCCGGCCTTTGCGGCCGCGTGATCGTGAAGTTTGGGGGAGACGCGTGTAGGAGGGAGGGGAGAGGGGGCGGGAGGAAAACAAGACAAAGCGCCAGTGCACAGATGATGCAACAAGTAACGAGACGGGGCATGTAACAAGTGTTGTAATGTTAATCACACTGCGACGTCGGGCTTATCTCCCTGCCTTGTAGACGGTACTAATAAATGCAGCCCAGTGGGTGGCGGTGTTTCCTCAGGGCGGACTCAGCCACGTAGGAGCGGATCTGTGCTCTCGGCAGACGGCCCCCCGCTCCCGGCTACCCGGGCGGTCACCCAGCCAGCCAGCAGTGGGCGGAGGCGCTCGGAGATCGACCACCGACGGCGCTCCCCGGCCAGCCCCGCCGTCCCACTCACCAGATGAAATCCTTGCAGTGGCTGCAGAACGTGAACTGCTTGAAGAAGCGCGGGATGAACTTGTGGTCCTTCACCTCAAACACATTCTTCTTTTTGAGTGCTCCTTTGCGGCCCCGCTGGCCGCGTCCAAACGGCGTGTTGGTATCGCCGGCGCCCGGTCCCGAGTCCACACCCTCCTCGGCCATGGCTGCCGGATGACTGGCGCGCCGCGCGGCCCACCAGATGCGCCACTAGCGCCGCGCCGCGCCGGAACCGCCGGCCGCCGGCCGTCAGCTGACTGGCGCCGCGCGCACCGCCTCCCGCCGGCCTCCGCCAGCGGGCCGCGGGCCATTGATCGCACGTGCTGGGAGGCAGGGCGGCGCCCATCGCCCATCGCCCACTGCCCGCCCTTGGTGAGAGGGCGACCTGTCAGATGCCCCGGACAGTGGAGGGATGCCATGTCAGAGACCGGGGGCAGTGGATGGGATGTCATGCCCGGGGCAGTGGAGGAGATGTCATCCCCGGGGCAGCGCCAGCGGAGGGGGTGACATGTCAGATGTCGCCCGTCGGGGGCAGTGGAGGGATGACATGTCAGAGACCGAGGACCAGTCGCTGGCACACCGGAGGGGCGGGATGACCTGTCAAATGTCGGAGGGCAATGGAAGGATGACATGTCAGCTGCATGGGGCGTGGAGGTGGACTTTGGGCAGCCGAGGGAAGATGAAGTGTCATATGACAAGACTGAACCAAAGGGGGAGATCCTTCACACTGAGACTCTGGTCGAAGTGGGTATGAGGCAGGCAGTGCTCTCAGCTGTGTGCCCCCTTTCGTCGTCTCCCCCCCCCCCTAATCGAGCTGGGGCTTTGCGAGAAGAAAAGTGTCGCCGTCATGAGACGCCGTGAATGGTATCCAATTCAAAGTCGCCCGTTTTGGAAATATATCGACCTTGAAAAAGCATAATCATTCAGCTCTCAAAAGACTAAAACGGTAGACACTATGGAGTAAGATAATACACGCCAATAGCTGTCTCACGGCAGCAGTAGGTACCCGCTGTCGAGTTTTATTTACCCTGTCTGCCGACCACATATCACCACCACACAGCTCCATTCGCGTGACGCGAGTGCAGTACATCAGTTCCGCTCGCAGGTCGTGTTCGGTGCGACATCAGCAGCGGCTAACGCTCACACAGCTCCAGTATCTACCGCAGCTATGCCCCCGGGCAAATACACGCATCACTTCAAGGCTGTGTGACTCATTCAAGCGAGTGGCGCTCTCTGAACACTCATAAAGGCACGCGATTCATAATCACCAGTGTCAGGCAATCAAAAACAAAATAAGCCACTCAACAAACAGCGCAAGTCACCGCCGGAAATGGAACACCGATTAGACGTAACAGACGTCTGTTGCAACTCGCAGCCATCGTCCATGGGATCGGGGAACCCCCGCCGATGGGACGAGAGAGGGGACAGAGGAGAGACAGAGAGAGAGAGAGAGCATGGGAAAGGCAGGGCAGAGCGGGGCAACCGACAGGACAAGGGGCAAGGAGAGGGGAACACACCGGGCACGGAATAAGGAGAGGAAAAGGAAGGGGAACAGAATAGCGAGAAGGGACAGAACACGGAACAGGGACCGGCGAACAGAGGGACAGAAGAAGCAGGGGATGGAAATAGAAAAAAGGCGTCACACACCTGCAATCAACTCGATTCACGCGCCGCCGTAGAAAGATAAGGCGAATAGAATAGGTAACTAAAGCAACAAGCAGCTTGGAATAGTAAAACAAGCCAATAGGCTCAGAAACGATGAACAGAGAACAACTTAAAAACATTAAACAACCCAGTTAGTCTTTCATGATAACCTATCGTCCCTCTTTAACGCCCACTTGGAAACAAAGTTCACCGATACATACAAGTGGAAGTTGAGCGACAAAATATTATAAGTTAACTGTTCGATGTCTTGTGTCCATATATTAATCTGTTCATAGCATAAATATTTCCAGCTATTTAGTCTATATGCGCCCGATACAACCGCACAAAATCCGCGTTGCACATTTCACATCATGACCAAACGTGAACACATATCGAAGCGTCAAACTTTGACACCGCCAAATATTAGACAAGTCAGCTAAATCACGAAAGAGACGTCCGGTCCCTAATATCAGCCACGCGCTCTTAACCCAATCGTGTGACCAGCAGGCAAAGTCGAACAGCCATGGTACTTCCATCAGTTTCCCGTAAAGCGAAACTAAGCTCTGGCCGCTCGGGCCTAGTCTACAGGATAGCATTCCTAGCCTTCAACCAGGCGGGCCTAGCCTTTGGCCTAGTGGAACCTAGCCTTGGCCTAGCGAGCCTAGCCATCGGCATAATGAGCCTAGTCTTTGGCCTAGTGATTCTAGTCATTGACCTAACTAGCCAAGCTTTTGAACTAGCGAGTCTAGTCATCGGTCGAGCGAGCCTAGTCTTTAGCCTAGCGAGCCTAGTCATGGCCTAGTAAGCCTGGTTTCTGGCCTAGCAAGCCTAGACTCCGGAGTGGAGTGCCTAGCACCTTAAGGCTGAAACAGACTCTTTGGGCAGTCAGAGAGTCATCTGCGAGAGCCCGTTCAAATACATCAACTCTAGCTCGCATTAATTGCATGCACCATCGTGCGTGCCACTGATGCGAGCCAGGTCTATGGTATCTGAATAGGCTCTTGTATGCGAGTTCCCGAATGACAAAAGAGCCTGTTTCTGCCTTGAGCTGGCAGGACTAGTTTTCAGGCGAACAAGTCTAGACTCTGGTTAACCTATACGCTGTGGGCCATAGACTCCATTCCACTCTGATCCCAGGTAAATCTGAAGAATCTACGACCCCACGGGTCAACTGTATGCCCGCCAACATAGCTATCACGACCCTCAGCCAGACCAGTCCGTCCCCTACCGCTGCACCGGCGATCTAACGCGCATGGACGGTGCCACAGGCACTGTTAGGTCACCAAACCGACCCCGTGACCCGGCACAGCCTCCCTGTGACGTTACAACGCCCCAGTGACGTCAGACTTTGCTAAGGTCGCCAGTGACGCTGCGTAGCACGGCCGAGTGCTGTCATTTGTGAACAAAGTCGACGACTAGCGGTGTGCGGTGTCTGGGCAAGAGTCCGGGCCCTCCCAGACTCCCAAGCCAGGCCGCCCAGTCCCCCGTCATCCACCACCCGGGCCGTGCTCCTGCTAACCAGACTGTCCGTGGCTGTGGTGGTGCGGCTGCACCACCGAGCCGTTAGAGGAGCCGTCCGACGTGGATCGCCTCCTCGAGGTGGACGGTGGAGGGGCCTGGCCCCACCCCAGGCGTGGCGAGCGCTTGGGGGAAACCAAACGACCACAACACGCCTCCTGCAGGGGGCGAACGCCGCTGGCCGACGCGCCACCACGTCGTCCAACAACCTCAACATCCAAGAGCATCTACGGGATCGGGTGCCGCGCGGCGAGCAGAGCCGAGGCGGCCCCGGTCCCAGTAGATAAGTGAGCGACACGGACCCCGCCGGTAGCGCCCCCGGCGGGGGTCCGGGTGTCCGCAGCGACCGTGCCCGGGGAGGACGGAGTCGCCGCGCCAAGAACCGCCGCTACCGCCTGAACCGCTCCGCGCGAAGCCGCCTGGTCATCGTGTCCTGGAACGCGGAGGGGCTCCGCACTAAGATGCAGGAGTTCCAACGCTGGCTGAGCGCAACGAAGGCGGACGTGGTAGCTGTGCAAGAGGCTCAGCTAGCGGCCAACAAGAACCCGTCAATTCCTGGGTACCAGACAGCTGTGGTCACCCGTCGGGCGCGTGGGAGGAGGGACGGCGGACCTGTCAAGGGCGGAGACGTGGCACTCTTCGTTCGCGACGGCCTTCAGTTCACCACCATCGACCAACCGCCTCTCCACCCTCTGGACGACTCCACGGAATGGTGCGCCACCCGGGTATTCCTCTACTCTAGTCACCCGAATCAGACGCAGAACACTAACGCAAGACCAAGACCGAGCTCAATCACCAGCATCGACGTCCACAACGTATACCGGCCCCCGATCCGAGCCACAGGGGACGACGAACGCGTGGATCGGTTCTCCATGGCCGCCTTCCCAACAACCAGCAGCGCCATCATCACTGGCGACTTCAATGCCCACCACGGAACCTGGGACCCGTCGTGCACCGAGCCAGACAGTACCGGCCAACTGCTGCAAGACTGGATGGAGACCAATGGATGGGAGGCCCTCAACTCCGGAGCTGCCACCCGCTCTGGTTACGGAACCGGCCCGCCGACTGCACCGGACGTGTCCATGGCACACCGAGACCTGGCAAGACGCTGCACCTGGCGTACCGGTGATGATCTGGGCAGTGACCACCTGCCACAGGTGATGACAGTCACCGTCAGCGGGTGCCGGCCTCGACGGATCCGGAAGACCCGATGGTCGTTCCGGAAGGCGAGCTGGACGGCGTACACCCAAGACTGCGAGACTGCACTCACAGCCGCCGCGCCTGCTCATCTGACCGTCGATCAGCTGAGCAACCGCCTCACAGACGCCATCATGCAAGCCAGCGCGAAACACATACCCAGAGGGGCCAGGGCCGACCCGAAGCCATGGGCGCTGGACCCGGAGCTGGAGCGTGCCGTGGCGGAGCGACGAGAGGCGAGGGCTGCCCTCGATCAGTCGCCCACACCGGAGAACCGCGAGGCGTGGAAACGCGCCAAGAAGAAGGCCGCGGAGACCGAAGAGGAAGCGAGGAAGAGAGCGTTCCGGACGTTCGCCACAGAAGAGCTCAACCAACATGCGAACCTGGGCCGTATCACCAAGTTGCTCCGCAAGATGGAGGGCGGTGTACAGTCAACTGCCCCTGGCCAAGCTATCAACGGGGACCGCGGCCGCGAGGCCGTGGAGGACCGTAGCAAGGCCGAGGCATTTGTCGCAACGTACGCTGCTGTCAGCAAGCACGTGCGCAGCAAGAAGTGGGACAGGCGCACCAAGGCGGAGTTGAAAGGACGTCGGCGGGCCCCCTGCTCCTGTGGTAATAACAGGACAGACGCCTGCCAGCCTTTCTCTATGCAAGAGATGAACGCCCAGATGAAGAAGATGAAGTCGCGGAAGGCGCCGGGTCCGGACCAAGTATGCGCGGAGCACCTGCAGCACCTGGGCCCCAGAGCGCGCGAGACGCTGCTCCATCTGATCAACTCGACCTGGACAAAGGGCGCGATCCCGGCAAGCTGGAAACGGGCTACTATCATCCCGATCCCGAAGCCAGGGAAGAACCCCAAGGACGTCTCCAGCTATCGTCCAATCGCCCTGACGAGCACTGTGGCTAAGCTCGCCGAACGGATGGTGGCCGCCCGTCTCACGCACCTCTGCGAGATGCACTGTCTGATCCCGCCAGAGCAGGTGGGTTTCCGCCGTGGCCGCGCCGCTGAAGATAACCTGAGCCGGCTGATCCAGTCGGTACAAGATGGCTGGAACAAGCCGAAGGCTCGCGGCCGCCCAAAGGACGGCATCACTGCAGACAAGTTTGTGCTCGTCGCCTACGATTTCGCGCGAGCATATGATACCATCGACCACAAGATGCTCCAGAACAAACTGCTGAGACACCTACCTAAATGCCTCGTCACCTGGATCTTCCAGCTGCTCAGGGATCGCCGAGCCTGCGTGGAGGTAAACGGCGTTCGCAGCCGGGACAGGCCCTTCAGAGCCGGCCTGCCGCAGGGATCCGTGCTCGCGCCGACCCTATACACGCTCTGGGCCGCCGACCTCATCGAGGAGCTGCGCAAGGTGCCCCGCACGGACTGCTACATGTACGCAGACGACACCGCCACAGTGAGCGCCGGCCCGAACATCCAGATGGCTCTGTCCCGAGCACAGCAATCGGCAGACATGATGGCGAGATGGGCGACCAAGAACAAGATGAACATCGCCGGCCACAAAACCCAAATCCTGGTTCTGTCTCAGTGGGCCCCTGACGCCAAGAATGTCACGCTCAAGGTCGCAGGATCGGACGTCACCGCAACATCTCATGTCAAGCTGCTGGGAGTGACGCTAGACCGCCTCCTCCACTTCGGCGAACACTGCGCCAGCCTGCGCCGCAAGGTCCGCCCACGCACAGCACAGTTGAGGAAGCTCACCGGCCACTCATGGGGACTACGAGAGCATCACCTGCGCACAGTAGCCAACGGCTATGTTCGCGGCGCGTTAGAGTACGCTGCAGCAGCCTGGCTGCCGGCGGCCTCCCCGTCCCACGTGGAGCTGGTCGATCGGGAACTGCGCGCGGCGGCCAGGGCAGTCACCGGCTGTCCCATGTCGACGCCGACGCACGGCCTGATGGCGGAGGCCGGCATGGCCACGGCAGAGATGCGACGCACCACTCTAGCCACGAGAATGGTGATGAGAGCAGCCTCGCTGCCTCCAGACGACCCACTGAGAGCCGTGGCCACCGCGACACAGCACTCCCGCCTCTCCGCCGTTCGCGGCTGGCGCGAGCTGGGGCGCAACACCCTACGCGACCTGGGAGCGCTGGATGTTCCAGTCGAGCCCAGCCTTGCGGCAACTCTCCCTCCGTGGACTCCTACGGAAGGAGTCTCCATCGCCCCCACCGCTGGACCCGCATGCGCAAGAGGCAGATCAGATGAGTCCCGGAGAACCGCGGCAGAGGACCTACTAGAGAAGCTCCCGGGGGCGGAGCGCGCGATCTGGATATGGTCGGACGGATCAGCGACAGGAGGAGTGACATCGGGCGGAGGAGGCGCCCACATCACCCTCCCGAACGGCAACACGGAAGAGGTCAGAACCCCAGCAGGCGTCTACTGTTCGAGCACAAGAGCGGAGCTGGTTGCACTCCGAGACGCGCTCGCAAAGATCGTGGAGATCGAGCAAGAGGACGCCGCCCCCGCCGGCGGTGACGACCCAATCATAGCCTGCCTAGACTCCCGTGCGGCGCTGATGACACTGGAGAGCGGTCCCGCAGCCCAGACTACCCAGCTGGGAGCCACCATCTGGCAGCAGCTGCTGCTACTGGTGGAGCGCGGTCGACCGGTGCACCTCCAGTGGGTGCCCGCCCACTGTGGCCTGGCCGGCAACGAGCGCGCCGATGCAATCGCAAAGGAGGCCGCAGGCATGGACCAGTCAAATGCCCCTATTGACACCAGGAGCGCCACCCGCGCCGCCGCCAGGTCTGCCCGGCGCCAGTGGCAACGTGCATGGCCAGACGGCTGGTACAAGGAAATATTCGGTGAAGAACATCTACCGGGACCGGTCAGCGGTGACAACCGGATGGCCGCGGTTGACACACATCAGCTGCGGGCGGGACACTGGAGCCAGTCGGCCCAGTACCTGCACCGCATCGGACGCCGCCCAACTGACACCTGTCAGGGCTGCGCCGACACCGAGTGCCCAGCGGCTCGATGCCTGGTGTGCGGCGAGGAGGCGGATACGCCGCGACACGTGCTGCTTCGCTGCCCGTGCCTGTGCGGCACGCGCCTCCACGCGCTGGGAAACATGCACGGTCGACCACCTGACCTACGACGGGACGACGTGGTGGCGGCCTTTGCCGCCGGCTTTCGCTCATTCCAGAGCCGATCGGCTACGCCCCGGCAATAGCTGGGGCCGGGAGGAACATCATCATCATCAGCCGTTAGAGGAGCACAGCACCCGCGCCCGGCCGGAGGACGACTCGGGCGCCTCTGGCGGCGGCGGCGCGCACTCCGAGTCCGCCGTCCGGTCGACAGGTGGCGCTGCCGGCGCCGGTCGGATCCACCGCCCGTCCTCGGCCGCCTCCTGACTGACGACGACGAACAGCTCCACGTCTTTGGAGCGCAGCCGCTCGTCGAGGTAGCGGATCAGGTCCTCCTCCTGTCGAACGGCGTGAAAAGGTTGATCAGTGTCTGATCCTTCAGGGCACATCAAGTGATGAAATACCTTGTAAACAGCAGCTGAATCCCCAATGAACCTGCCGTCAAGCTGTCAGAAAGCCGAGCAGTGAGAACCATTCTGAGCACTGAGCAAGAAGCTGTTAAAGCAGGCATTTGTTTTCAAATTCTTACTTTTATGTCTGGCTCTGAAGAGAAGTGTTATTTGACTTGTAGAATGCAGCACTGGAACCACCAGAATCAAACAGAACCGTACATTATCACAGCAGTCTATCAGTGACTCAGTCCATCCCTTCCGTACCGTTCCGATCCTCTCGGGCGCCTGCAGCTTGGAGTCGAGGTTGTAGTAGGCGGCCGGCTCACTAGATGGCAGGCCTGCCGTGCGCAGTCGGCGCAGCGCCACCCAATGGCGTCGCGAATAGGGCAGCGTGAGCGGCCCAAGACGGTACTCGGTGAACAGGTTCAGGATGAAACCCTCAATGTGCTCCAGCACCAGGTCGGATACGTTCCTGAAAGAAGCCAAAGAACGTTTGCGTCAAAGTTCCGAGATATCAAATCACTCTTGACAAGAAATGTGTCCACGAATAATAATCCCTGATACGATGACACACGACTACACACTTCAGCCACACACCTACAAAGCCAACTAACCCCGCGTTTGATGTCTCCCGGACGGCAAAGATTCTACGTCGTCCGGCCAATCCCGTCCAAGGTCAGCGGGGGCTCGGCTGCGGTTATGAAACGTGATTGGCCGGACGACATAGATTCTTCGCCGTCCGAGAGACATCGAACGCGGGGTAAATGTCCATTTTAAAACACTCGCTGTGAGACTCGACACCAGTCATAGCAAAAGACCAATGTGTCAGTGTCAGAATCAGTCAGAGTGAGTGAGGCATTGATATAAGCCATTTAGAGTTCACAGAACAGTGAAAATGGAAAGGCACGAAGATCGCTAATAATACGTGCCATGTCACGTCTGAATGACATTTCGCATTTCAAATAAAGCCCGACCGACACAGAAGCAAAGAGCACATCGCTAAGTACGAATCCCCATCGGTCAGGGGCTCTACTAGCTGCAGCCCTCCCTGCCCTCCCCGCCCACCTGCGCTTGTCGAACCAGCGGGCGTCCCTGCCGCGCTGCTGCAGGGCGGCCATCAGCACGTTGACGTCAAAGTTGCCCGTGCCGAGCACGGAGCGGTGCGGGTTGAGCCAGGAGCCGGGGGCCAGCCGCTCGCATATGGCGTCCAACTGGCGCTCGCTGAACTCACGGCATTGTAGGACGTTGTTGAGCGCGTGCAGCGCACAGAGCTCGCGTACCTGAGAGGGGGAGAGGAGATAGATTTAGAGCATCTTACCTACTAGTTCAAACAACCTGCAGATATATAATCTGCAAAGACCCTCTGCTCTATCAATACATTGTAGCTACATAAATGCCTTCGTATAGGTGAAATTCCTTGCAATGTGTGCTGTCAACCTCATTAGTGGATCTATCCCAACATACCACATTTAGACTTGAAGAACATTTTCACCATGACTGAACGAGCTAAGACGTTACGCCCACCAGCTGGCTGAAAACAGCTGCCTGCTCGATAATTGAAGAGTAGATGATAAGATACGGACTAGGCAGCAGTTACTGGACGATTAAAGAGACCGGCATCGCCCAGTAGAAAGAAGCCAAGATTTATGGCCACATCAAACCGCTTCGAGGGGGACAAGGTCATGTTAAAATTTGTAGTGATGATCCTAAAGCAATAAGTGGGAGAGTCAGAGGCTGAAAAAGGCTATACCCATGTCATAGGTATCAGCTTTACGTATCTATAAAATGCCAACCAATAACCATCATCACAAAAACGTGTTGTTACATTTACAATTACAACGTACCTGTTTTTCATGATAAATCCCATCTTGGGTTATATTTGTTTTGTTGAAAAATGGCATATTGACACACCAGCACCCTGAAACAGAAAACACATCTCTGAGCTAAGGAATAAAAATAAATGCAATCATGCATTCAATCACTTCATGCTCTTTATATTGTACTATTGTCTTGTCTACCCTTTATAAATCAATAACTTAGATTGCACAATAAAGCAACTGTCAACACAACAAGCCCATTGGCCAATTTACAAACCAAGAAACCACCAGTTGCAGCTACTTTACTTTTGGCCAGTTACACCAGAATTTCACCAGACAGCAGTCAGCAATCATGAGAAAAATAATCAATGACGTGAAAATATTATACCAGAGCAAAACTAATGGTTTTTACTTACTTACTTACTGAATTACAGGACAGGTAATAGGCTAGGAAAAGGGGGGTGTCTAAAAAGCAGACGAGATTAGCAGACGAGCCCATGCTCAGTAACTACTGGACCGATTTGGGTAATTCTTTCACCATTCAATAGCAGGGAACTTATATAGGTGCCGTTTTTCGTTTTTTGGCGATTGGTTCACTCTGACTGGACCAATCGGACCAAAATGGTCCAGAACCATACACCCCCTTAAAAGCAGACGAGCCCATGCTCCGAAACTACTGGACCGATTTCAATGAAACCTTCACCATTAGACGCGCCGTGGTCTGAAACGGTGCCGCTTTTGATGATTTTTTATTGGTCTACCCTAAGTGGTCCAAATCGGTCCAAAACCGCTAAAATCTGTTGCAGACGAGCCCATGCTCCGAAACTACTGGACCGATTTCGATGAAACCTTCACCATTAGACGCGCCGTGGTCTGAAACGGTGCCGTTTTTGATAATTTTTTGATTGGTCCACCCTAAGTGGTCCAAATCGGTCCAAACCCCCTAAAATCTGTTGCAGACGAGCCCATGCTCCGAAACTACTGGACCGATTTCGATGAAACCTTCACCATTAGACGCGCCGTGGTCTGAAACGGTGCCGTTTTTGATGATTTTTTTATTGGTCCACCCTAAGTGGTCCAAATCGGTCCAAAACCGCTAAAATCTGTTGCAGACGAGCCCATGCTCCGAAACTACTGGACCGATTTCGATGAAACCTTCACCATTAGACGCGCCGTGGTCTGAAACGGTGCCGTTTTTGATAATTTTTTGATTGGTCCACCCTAAGTGGTCCAAATCGGTCCAAAATCGCTAAAATCTGCTGCAGACGAGCCCATGCTCCGAAACTACTGGACCGATTTCGATGAAACTTTCACCATTAGACGCGCCGTGGTCTGAAACGGTGCCGGTTATGATAATTTTTTATTGGTCCACCCTAAGTGGTCCAAATCGGTCCAAAACCGCTAAAATCTGTTGCAGACGAGCCCATGCTCCGAAACTACTGGACCGATTTCGATGAAACCTTCACCATTAGACGTGCCGTGGTCAGAAACGGTGCCGTTTTGGATAATTTTTTATTGGTCCACCCTAAGTGGTCCAAATCGGTCCAAAACCCCTAAAATCTGTTGCAGACGAGCCCATGCTCCGAAACTACTGGACCGATTTCGATGAAACCTTCACCAACGCGCTCTGGTCTGTAACGGTGCCGCTTTTGGATAATTTTTTAATTGGTCCACCCTAAGTGGTCCAAATCGGTTCAAGTACAGCCCAAAAATACGTTTTCATGTAGTCAACCGATGAGCTGGTTTCCGCAGCGCGGAGGTGCCCCAGGCCCAATTAGCATGCATTTTTGCTCTAGTTTGGAAAGCAAAATGCATTACAATGGGTTTGGGGCACCTCTGTGCTGCAGAAATCTATCCGGACTCTGACAAAGTACAAACGGGTTTTAGGCATTTTGGACCGATTTGGACCACTTAGGGTGGACCAATCAAAAAATTATCAAATACGGCACCGTTTCAGACCACGGCGCGTCTAATGGTGAAGGTTTCATCGAAATCGGTCCAGTAGTTTCGGAGCATGGGCTCGTCTGCAACAGATTTTAGGGGTTTTGGACCGATTTGGACCACTTAGGGTGGACCAATCAAAAAATTATCAAAAACGGCACCGTTTCAGACCACGGCGCGTCTAATGGTGAAGGTTTCATCGAAATCGGTCCAGTAGTTTCGGAGCATGGGCTCGTCTGCAACAGATTTTAGCGGTTTTGGACCGATTTGGACCACTTAGGGTGGACCAATAAAAAATTATCAAAAACGGCACCGTTTCTGACCACGGCACGTCTAATGGTGAAGGTTTCATCGAAATCGGTCCAGTAGTTTCGGAGCATGGGCTCGTCTGCAACAGATTTTAGCGGTTTTGGACCGATTTGGACCACTTAGGGTGGACCAATCAAAAAATTATCAAAAACGGCACCGTTTCAGACCACGGCGCGTCTAATGGTGAAGGTTTCATCGAAATCGGTCCAGTAGTTTCGGAGCATGGGCTCGTCTGCAACAGATTTTAGCGGTTTTGGACCGATTTGGACCACTTAGGGTGGACCAATCAAAAAATTATCCAAAACGGCACCGTTTCAGACCACGGCGCGTCTAATGGTGAAGGTTTCATCGAAATCGGTCCAGCAGTTTCGGAGCATGGGCTCGTCTGCAACAGATTTTAAGGGTTTTGGACCGATTTGGACCACTTAGGGTGGACCAATCAAAAAATTATCAAAAACGGCACCGTTTCAGACCACGGCGCATCTAATGGTGAAGGTTTCATCGAAATCGGTCCAGTAGTTTCGGAGCATGGGCTCGTCTGCAACAGATTTTAAGGGTTTTGGACCGATTTGGACCACTTAGGGTGGACCAATCAAAAAATTATCAAAAGCGGCACCGTTTCAGACCACGGCGCATCTAATGGTGAAGGTTTCATCGAAATCGGTTCAGTAGTTTCGGAGCATGGGCTCGTCTGCTTTTAAGGGGGTGTATGGTTCTGGATCATTTTGGTCCGATTGGTCCAGTCAAAGTGAACCAATCGCCAAAAAACGAAAAACGGCACCTATATAATTTCCCTGCTATTGAATGGTGAAAGAATTATCAAAATCGGTCCAGTAGTTACTGAGCATGGGCTCGTCTGCTAATCTCGTCTGCTTTTTAGACACTCCCTAGGAAAAGGAACCCTGCGGATTTCCCTGCTCGTAGCTTTGCATCCAAGGCTATATAAACTTGCATCTCAAACTAAACAATGCGTACCAAATGCGTACATGGATTGCGCGTCGAAAAGAAAATGTACTGCGTCAGAAATGTGACAAATGCGCAAGAAGAGGGAAGTTTGATGATCCGCCATATTTAGCTTCCATATCTTACTACACCAGTTTCCTTTCCATGGACTCAGGGGCGTCGCCGACGGGGGGGTCGGGGGGGGGGTCGTGACCCCCCACTCTTGAAAACTGGGGGTGTCGACCCCCCCCCCCCCACTTTTTGCGATGCTGAGTATGCTTTTTTAGCTTTTATGTCAGTGAAGCAGGCGTCAGCAACACCAACAAATACATTAGATTCTAAATCACTTCAAGAGCTCCCTAAAGCCAATTAGCCAGTTACCTAAAGGTCAATTAGCTGTGGGCGGGGAACACCAGCACAAGAATGTTTCCTAGTACCTTTTTATCCCTCAAAGGATTGGACGCGCCAAAACTGCCCCGAGCGTTCGTCTGACCGTTTTAAAAAAATGGTCGCAGTCGATTCGTCGGATCAGTAGGTATTCAGTACCTAACTACAAAACTACAAACTAGCCTCAGCCCCATGGCTACCGTCACAACTAGCTGTACAGTGCACATGTAGGGGAAAGGGAGTCAGATGGAACCGTCTCGGGCTTTCGCAAAGAAGTCGCGCAAAAAGGAGCCGATTGCAACAAAACTTCCGGTGCGCTCGAGTTAATCACCTACTTAAAATAAATCGATATCCCTGATTCAAATAAAGATGACCTTAGTTCACTTTTTCATAACGTGCTTTTAATTGATAGGGTAGTTTTTGGAGCTGATTTTGAACTTAGCGCCCATCTGAACATTTAAGAAGTAGTTGTGTTGCTTATTCATATAACATGCTAGGAAGCAATCGGTGGTGGTCATCCACTATTAGGTACTGGTCGATCTGACCTGACCTGATCTACCCCAAATGCATGGAGTCATCATCTTCGTTCAAAACTAAGATAACATTCGTAATCAGAACCTCGAAAAACCATCACAACTTACATTCGTTAAGTTCTAGCAGGTCCCGAGTTTCTCTACTTATTGGCGATGACCTGAGTCCTGAGATGACCCGAAAACTTGTAAATGGGTATCATCGGCTTTCTCTCGTCACGAGCAGCATGCTCTTTTTTCCGCAAACCTGTAGATCGATCAGGGGTCGAAAGCATGCCTCAGCGTTAGTTTAGTATACGTTATACGTTAGCGACTGGGAAACCACCAATAGAAGGGCTACAGTGAAGCAGAAAACTATTCGATAGCTCTTTTAACGCTCTTTCGCTAGCTTCGCGTTAGATTTCATCTCAGGTCTATGTTTGGCCCATAAGAAGGCAAACAGCTAACTGGACAGATTCTGCCGAAACATCTGCTTTGCAATAACTTTCGATTCCGTGAATTTGTATGGTATATACATATGTTGTCTTGTCACCACTGTCTTTATCTCTTTGAGACGCGTCACATGAGTTAAAATTTGACCATTCAGAATTAACCCTCGCACGACCAGGCCATTTCTCATAACACGAACGACCAGGGGGGGGGGGTTGTTACGACCCCCCCCCCTGGCGTTTCGAAACGGAAGGTCGTAGAGCTTAGCGGAAAAAACCAACGGATTGCTCTCAACGAGATCTCGCGATTGGTGGTATATTTTTTGGTCCTAGGTCAACATTTTACCTACTTTTGACCGGTCAAAGGTCAAATTTTAGGAAAAATAGACCTTTTTCAACTTTCCGCGGCGATTGCGGCAAAACCGTGGGAGATATCGACTTGAAATCTTCACTATCGTGTTCCTTGATCAATTCTCTATCGTTTGGTATGTATTTCGTTTCCCTAGCTCTAAAAATGGCGCGTTGGGAGCGCCGGAAGTCGGCAAGGTCACAGTCGGCGGCAGAAATTCGAAAAATCAAAATTTAAATTTTTTAAATCTGATTGTATTTTTGGATTTGGGAGGTCCATTTGCTCCCTATAGAAGCTAATATTGCTGCATATTCCCATTGAGGTGACAAGAATTAGCAAAATAGTGGTTCGGGCGCTTTTCAAAAATAGTACCGGACGCTGTTCCTCTTGTGACGTCATAGCTCCGTGACCTGACCTGACCCGGTCAATTTTCTTGCACCACACGATAGCCAATGCTTGCCCCAACATGCATGGGAAGTTTCATCATGATCCATCAAACAATGTGGGTATCACCGGCAGAAAACCTAGGGATTCGGCGCACACGTTTGGTAACTGTCGGCCGGAGGCTGTACCTCTTATGACGTCATAACTCCGTGACCTGACATGACCCGATCAATTTTTTTTTAGGCAAAAGATGCGCAAAGGTTGCCCCAGAGGGTATTGAAA